ATCTTTATGCTTCTGCTACATTTGGACAGACCATAGCAACAATTAAGTACATTGCTACTGAATATGCATGTATATTCTGCACATGGAGGAAACTGATGCAAACTTTCTTTACTGAGTGACCAACAGTGAATTGGAAGGTTCGCTTATGGTTCCCTTGCTCTGCCTCACCCTGTGGCAACCTCGTTGTTTCTTCAATCCACAATCTGTATTTTTACATGTCTTTATTTCAGGAAGAATCTCAGAAATTGCTGTTTAAAAACAGAGGCCTCAGGCCCTAAGGATTTGTTTGATATGTAACTAGAATACAGAATATTGTACAGAAATCATTGTGTAAGTGTGATTTGTTCACATTTCTACAGTAAGCTCACTACAGCTTTGCCAGGCATCATACTCGTTACTTTATGCATTTAAACACAAGCCAAGTGGGGCTCATATGAATGAATTTTCATGTTATTTTTTGGTTCCGACATACAAAAGGGCATTGGCCAAATCACATGCAAAGATATACTAAAACCATTGGTGCCTAACTAGAATCATCTTTCTTGGACAATTTTCTGTACACAGACACCTTCCTTCCATCATCCCCAAATGGTATCTGCAACTGTATTTGCAAAACCTTCTTTTGAAAACCCGTCACAGTTTAGTTGGCGCGAACAAGAAAATGACTTGCAGGAGGTTATTTCACAGTTGGAGCAAGACAGGAGTCAGGCACCAAAATCATGACCAAGACTCAAAATTCAAGTCTTGGTCTGGTCCCCAGATCTTGTGGTAGCTTCATAACTCACTGACACCATCTGGCAGCCATAGAGTTTGTAAGGGAGTTAAGATTTTCCAATTCATTCCAGCTGAGATCTTCAGAGAGGCCAATGGGAGCAAGCACGCAGCTGTCACTCAAAACCGGGAAGCATGGAGAAGCCAGCCTCTCTTTCCTCATCAGCAGATGTGAAGCCTTTCTCTTTGGACAAGCTCCATTTCAATCTGCTTGTCACAGAAGCAGAAACACTTCATTTTGTATCTTCAAGTGTTTAGATAAAGGACAAGAAAGTATTGTTAAGGAAAACAAGGCTGCAAGACCTCACCAGGATAATGAAAATCATACAAGGAATTTCTTCTCTTTTTCCCTTCCTACTTTTCCATCTCTGGCAGGAGTTAGTGGGAGTTTTATCCTCAAAAGCCCTTTCCATTCTCATCAAAGCTGTCTTCAGAATGACTGTCTGCCTCAGCATTTGTGTTTTCATTGTTTACAACAGGAGAATCCTACACTGTTCCTCTCAGTTACATTTTAAAAACAAAATGCAAACATGAACACTGCTGTTATTTTGGGCAAAAAGAAAGCTTTGTTGGCCTGTAGGTGTTTGAATTAAAAAGAGAAGAACGGGGAAAAAGGGGAGGTGATGAGAATGAAAAGAACAAAATGTAAATAAAAAATCTAGAAAACCTAAATAATCCATCGTTCATACACATAATAAAAAGAAAAATAGCAATATGGGTTTGATTCCTCTTGCTCAGTGTGGTAAAAACAAAAAGTATGTGTCACATTATGCGAGAATGTTTTTTCCAAATTTTTATCTGTGCCTTGGGAGCTCCTGGAGACATTAATTAGTTCCTTCTGCCCTTCTGAAAGGGCTGCAAAATTGGCATCACTATATATTTACTCAGATTTTAAGTGAGGCTCCTACAGTGAATGACCCAGGTTTTACAAATAATGAATCCTTTTTCTAAGCATTATTTAGTATGATTTCAGGATAACACAACTGCTTTATGAAAGCATATCCTCTCTAAATAAGCTGAATTGTTAATTTTAATGATTTTGTTTTCTGCCCACAGACATGTTTTCGTATTAAACACTGTCCATGCTCAGATAAATTTTTAAAAGCACATGCTTAAAAAAAAAAAATCAACCTAAATTATACATAACTGTGGTTTTGACACAGTTGCAAGATACTGTAGAAAGCTAATTCATTCCACAGCCCAGCAAATTAAACATTTCCAAGACCCATCCAAGGACTGGATAGAGGAAAGTGAGGAAACACAAAGCTTTGAACCATTTGTTTGGACAGTATCTCTGTCCGTTGGTTCATGCACTAACCCTGACCCATGTTATTATGCTCTAGAGAGTAGCAGACTGCAGTAAGCCAAAGGGATCCAGAGGGAGAGATGGAGGGTAGGGGATGAGTAAGTGGGATGATATATGTAAGCACACTTTAGACAGATGGTTGTACATTACTATCTTTACATTATACACATTTCTGAACATAGGTTGTATACTCTTATGGGACTGTACAGCATCTGATGTGCACATTGCACCAAAACACTATCAATCAGTACAATAATTTAGGCAGACAAATAACTTGCAAATAAATTACTGTTATTGGTGGATCAGAGAGCACCGGAACTGAGATGCTGTTATGCTGCAGAGCTAGTCACATGCTGCAACAATAAACATGTCTGCAGCAGCATTTAGTACCTTCAAAGAAAAATTAAACAAAGCCCCACAATTTACCTATCTAATATTTTTTCCATCTTTTTATCAAACTAATGAGGAAATGGCACTTTTGCAGAAAAAGTCTGGCAAAGTAGATCATCTTTTCCAGCAGCACAGACTAGTAATGATGACAAGGACCGAGGCACATCACAGGGAGAAGTCTATAGGGAAGTAGGAGAAACTTCTCCAGAGGACAGAAATTGTATATTTGATGTTTGCAACAAGAGCAAGTTCAAAGCCAAGCAGAAAGAAAATGGTATCAGCAAAACATTGAATTACAGGTTTATCTTTGAAAATCTCAGTTTCTTTTGCCAACCTCTTCTTCTTTTAAGAGAATAAAACCTGCCCTTGGTTGTTGATGAAGGTGAAGGATGTCTTAAATGCACTAAGTGGCCAGAGAATGATGCAAATACCTTAAAATGTGATAACATTTTTGGATGATCTGTTGATCCCATAGAATTTTAGTACTGACATTGTTTCGTTATTTTGTAAATCTAATAAGCATTTCTTCAGCACATACTAGCAGCTAAGAGTCCTCTGGCTTGCAGTTTGTGTTGTTGTAGAAAGAGGCTCTGAGCTACTGCTCTCTCAGGACTATACATCTTTACAGCCAACATTTCATACTATTTGTCCAGAAAATAATTCTTCACTTGTCTTCCTTAAAGCAGTCCTGACCATGTATTTTTGTGGCAGAAACTAGTCAGTCATTTCTGTTTTCTTTAGGTCTTGTGTCCTTCATCTGCCCCTAGTCTCTCAAGTAAACAACAAAAAAGGTGATTACATGCTCCATTGCTGTAGCATTCATTAGTTGATATGCAAAAGCCCCTACATTTTAAAATATTTGCTCTATTGTAATATTGGATTAAGAGAGCTAGGAAATTAATATCTGACAGCTTTGCCATGGAAAAAATAAAAGACAGTGAGTGACTGCAGAGACAAACAATAGCTTCCACTTTGACAATGCAGTGCTGAACTTTTACCCAGATGCTCACGAACCTGCTCTTCACTTACAGTAGGAGGGACTTTGATCCCCCAGCCCTTGCTTAGAGGTTCAGGGAAACAAGGGCTGTGGGATGCCTGACTGGCAGTGAAGACTGAGGCAAAGAACCTCATGAGTGCCTCAGTCTTTGCCGTGTCTGTCATTATCAGTTCTCCCTTCTCCTTTATCAGAGAGGGAACAATCTACTTGGCCCTTCTTTTCTGGCCAATGCACCAGCAGAATCCCTTGTTACTTCTTGCTTCCCTTGCCAAGCTCTGTTCCATCTGTGTCTTGGCTTTCCTGATCCCATTCCTACACCTCTGAATGGCATCCTCATACTCTTCCCAGACCACATGCCCTTGTGTCCACTACCTGTGCATTTCCTTTTTAAACTTCAGTTTAACTTGTTGTTGACAATTAATGTAGACAAAAATCTGATGCCAACCATCATTTTCACAGGCACATTAATCAACCATCATTTAATTAGCATAGAGGGTCAGCTCAACTCAAAGAACTAATTATTTATTGTGGCAGGGACACAATGAGGATGTACAGTACACTACTGTAACACAGAGCAGGAGTAACAGACTTCTGTCATTCCCACTACAGCTCAAGATTTTGCCATGAAGTGATTTTCATTTAACAGTAGCCAAACAGAGTTTGGTAGATAAACATTATTTCCAATAACTCAAAATGTTTACTCACTTCATGATACCAGGAGAGGTTTTATCAACTTCTTCTTTGCCATTCAGCCTCTTTAATACATTTTTATTACTTAGGCATTTCCTACTGGCTTAATCCTCTAGTAAACTTAACCTCTATGAAAATTACAAGGAAAAAAGGGAATTGCATTTGACATAGCTTAGGGATATGGTTTAGTGGGGACTGTTAGCGTTAGGTCAGAGGTTGGACTCGATGATCTTGAGGTCTCTTCCCACCTAGAAATTCTGTGATTCTGTGATTCTGTGATAAGGGAGTGTTGCAGTCATCTGCACAATAGACCCTGTTTTGATCAATGTTTTTGATTGCTATCATGGAGTGATAAAGCAGTCTGCAATTGCAACAATGTACCATCTATCCAAGGCTTGCAAATTTTCCCTGTACTTCCATAATGTTCTCTCAGTATCTTCCTCTTTCTTTCTTTCTGTCCCTTCTTCTGTCCTTCCCTCCTGGTAGTTTTCTACGTGCATGCCAAAATCTTCCAACATTTTCCTCACCTAGCAGGACATTGCTATACACAAAATTCTACTAGCTACTCAATTTTGTGAGTGTGTAAGAGACTCACAGCCCTATATGGGACTGTAGAGGGACCATCATGAAGGACAGGTGCATCTTGCTGGATATGCCTCAGAACAAACATATAAATATCTGCACACAAGCACAAGCATTTTGACACATTCAATAAAGGTAACTGAAGTGAACAGACTCACAATATTTTGTAGAGAGAACCAAATCACATGAATTCCTTGAGTGGACTGAGGTCAGCTTGTATCTTTCCACAAATGTACTACAAATGGAGAGGATGAGTGAGGATACCTGAGAGTGCTTGGAGACCCAGTGACGCAAGACATTCAGGACACGATTTGTGGCTGCTCTGCGTATTATGAACTCTTTGTCACACATGCGTTCAGAATTGTTAAATCCTGTGAGGCAAAAACACACACAAGAATTAAAAAGTCAACAGAGGTACCAAACCAGGTTCTTCAAATACCTTGTTAATATCTTTGGTAAAATGAAGGCTCACAGCACATTAATAAGCAATAAAAGGAAAGAAGCTTTTTGCAAAATCAGTAAAATACAGACTTGCTCTTCAAAACTAATAGAGCCACTGACTTGGATCACTATTCAGTTTTAGAAAGATAAAGAATATTTCCTAGCATCATTAGACAGATCTCCATTTGCTACAAAAGAAAGTAAAAATAAAAAACATGTCAAGACCAAAAACATACAGGGCCTGTAATCAAGCAGAGTACAGAAGGAAAGTGAGTATGATTTAGAAGAGGGAAAGCAGTAAAATTTAGAAGTGATAAAGAAACAAAGGAGGACAGTAGTTTAAATATGGTGGAGAAGAAGGTCAACATGAGGAGTGTTCCTTCATAAAAGCAGTATTGTACAGGCTTTACTAGTCAACAGAGCATGTTCAAATAAGCAGTTTATTTTTTTTTACCACTGGACTGACAAGAAAGTGGGAAGGTATACAGAAAACACATTCACTGACTGAGCTGCTTGAAAGCAAAGATTAGTCAACTGCAGCATTACACCACACATTTTGTAATGATAACTTCTGGTTTTAGTCAGTAATATTTACTTATCAATAAATGTTTTTAAAAAACAAGAAAGTTTCCTATTACATTCATAGCACTGTTACTTTCTTTTCTAGTTGTGCCATAGCTCTGTGAGAAATACAATCTGTATACTAATAATGACTACATTGAATACTGTGTTTTTTTCTAGAAGAAGGTAACTCTGAAAATACGTTTGAGAAGTTTATGTTTTTCTAGGGTTTTGTTAGATTTGATCTCATGCTGTCCGTTTCACTGTAGAGTCCAGGGAACTACTGGAAAATCCCTTCTGTGTGACCAGCACTTTGCAATTTTTTGTCATAAAAGCTGTTCTAAAGCCTGTGTATTATTAGAAATAGCAAAGGGAGATTAAACATCTATTTATTCTATGAAAAACAAACAAATAAAAAAAAAAAACAAAAAAAAAAAAAAAACAACATTGGAAGTATTCTTAGAGGCTAGTATTAGTTTTGTTCTATTTTTATTAGAGAAAGTTATTACAGACAGTCCAAAAAATCCTAATTGCTGTTCTTCATTTTCAGAAGGATAAGAAAGGAAAAAAAAAAAATAACTGCAGTCTTAACATCTTTTAGTATATGCTGGACCCCAAATGGATCCTCTATGCTTATGTTTTATGGAAGTTTTTAAAACTATGTCATATTACATTATAGTCGATATCTAAGATTTAATATCAAAGAAAGTTTCATATTAAAACATCTTTCGGAATTTAGCTGCCCATAAGCAGTACAGTAAACAGAATCTCTGAGGCTTTACTCAGTAAAAGGTAACCTAGGCAACATTTTGTGTGTTAATTTTCTATGCTTTTCACAGTTAACCTCTTGCAAAAGCAATTAGGCATGCACATTATAAACTGTTCAATTAGCTACTTAATTGCAGCAGTGAAAGTCACAATGAAAATTATATATTAAAGCCGTAGAGTCTTTATCGAAGTAACATTAAGGAAAAGAAGATTTGGTAAACTGGAAGGAAAACAGAGAGAAACCTTCAGAGACAATTTTCAGTTAGCTGCAAGAGAATAAAAAGAGCAAGAAAGGCAAAAGGAAAACCTTTAGGGAACACTTCAGAAAACTTCTGTGGTTCTCAGAATTTCATCAATTTTTAATCAGTAATTAGCTTGTTTCAGAGTCTAAGCAACATATTCACTAAGACCCACATAGTACCTAATGTTGATTTCTTGAACATATACCTGGAGATCTCCAATCGTGTAAGAAAATAACTTAGAAGAACATAGATGTACAAGGGTAGATGTAAATTTAACTCCACATGTTAACTCACTGTACATCTTCAGATATAAGACTTCAAATAAATATCTGTGAAATATATATATATTTTTTTTTTTCAAAATAAAGCTGGAAATCTTATTAATTTCATTCTTTATTTTTATATAACAAACAAATCAGAATGCAAGAATGTGTTTCTCTCTCTCTTCACAAAACATTTTTAATTTATTGTTCTTTCAAGAAAGAACCCCCAAATGCTTGAGCTACACTCACTGTCCAAGAATTAAATCTGCCAATTGTGAAAAAATTGTGAAGAAAATTGTGCTTATGACAATTTCTTGTGGACTCTTAGAAATTATCTGGAAATGCTATACATCACACAATTCCCAGTGTGGAACTGTGGCAGATCAACATCTTCAATCTGAGACCATAATGTCACACAATAAAAATTGTTACCCCATTTCCATGGTCCTTGCTTAGAGTGGTTATCTAGCAGTCTTTGACTTTTCACAAGTCACACAAGTTTTGGTTTAAAATGTGAACTCAGCAAATGTGGGTTTGGGAATGTATGGGTTTCTGCTCGCTGTACTAATCAGTTCTGGATATTCACTGCACCTTTCCTTTCCTTACTTGCTTGCTTTCTCTCTCCAAAAGTAAATTAGTAAGGAGTGAATTATATGGTGGAAATTCTCTTCACACTCTGTAATTCAAAAGTCACCCCCAGCATTGCCACTATTCTTTGTATACAAGGAGATGTGACTCTTCCGTGTGGATGCTTGGCTTTACCTTAAGGTTCTCCCTCGCAACTTGTTTTGAGTAACAGTAGACCTCAGCTAGTCTCCATATTCAGTATCAGCAGAACTAACAGGCCTTAAGCCAAAATCAAGTATGCTGGAGAAAAATACATGGAATCCTTGGACCTCCCTTATGCAAGTGAGCTTGTGGCAGGCAAAGCTGGTGGGATTTGCAGTATTCAGAAAAAAATAAGCCTCTGCCAGCAGTTCCCATTCTGTGATCTACCATACTATTTCCAAGCAAAAGGTTCTGCACAGTTATGACATGAACATGAAGCAGTTCAGGACAAAGGAACTGATTATATTCCTACATCAAAAAGGGTGACCAAACGTCCTGGGCAATGCCGGGGATTTGCACTACGACAGAGACAAAGATAAAGAACTGCTCCTCACAAAGATGGAGACACACCAGTCATCACTGACCAGTGTGGAAAGATACACAGAAGCAAAGCAGATAATCTTCACTAGGTCCACCACCAGAAGATGCTGCAAAGTGAGAACCTTTTTAATAGTGTTACCAAAAGGATTGTTAGGCTTTGGAACAGGCTGCCCAGGGAAGTGGTTGAGTCACCATCCCTGGAAGTCTTTAAAAGATGTTTAGATGCTGAACTTAGTGATATGGTTTAGTGGAGGACTTGTCATTGTTAGGTGAGAGGTTGGACTCGGTGATCTTGAGGTCTCTTCCAACCTAGAAATTCTGTGATTCTGTGTTTATGTCACCGCTGGCTCTTACAGTAACTGAAATGGGAGCCAGGGTCTACAAAGCATGTAGTAAAGATGGTTACCATCCACATCATAAAAATGTCCATCAAGTACAGATTTATTAGATTAGACTCAAAATTAGAAGTTATTAAATAACAGCTACTAATCACTAGATAAACTTCAGTGAATATATACACATATTTTTCATTACAGTTGTGACAAGAGCCACCTTTTTTTGGATCTATTCACCTACATAGCATGAGACATAAGTGTAAAACTATATGTAGACAGATACCAGCAGATATATTCAAAACTAATGTGAGAGCTCCTTCCCAGAAAGTACAGCAACAGTTTAAAATACCCACCACTCAAAGTCTTGGACTGTACTATTCCTGATACTAAGAGACTACTGTCATATTACTAGTCTAAATAAAATTTAGTCAATATTGATCATGCAAACAAAAGAGATTTCAGAAGTTCTTACAGTCACTGAATAAGTCTTTTCACTAACCAAAATGTGACAACACATAAGAAAAACAATACTCAAGAACACAGAAAAGTTCTTGCACAGAAAAATGGTATTAATTTCAGGAATCTTATAAAATTCAGAAAAAATAGCAAAAATATCAGCAGAAAGGAAGTAAGATCAGTAAGTATTGTTACTTTCTGGTCTTCTAACTTTGAAAGGAAAGGTCTAAACAAAAAAAAAAAAAAGAGAGAAAAAAAATTTGCCACAGCAGAATTAATATAAAAGTAAAGACATGCAAAAACAAGTCCTTCGCTAGCATTGCTTTTGGTCCTCCTGACTTTCAAAGCGTTGTGGACTTCAGGAAAGGAACTGATAGCCACAGACTAAGCTGATTAAGCCACTACAGAAGCAATCTAAGCAATGAACAGTCAGCTTTGACAGTGCCATCACAGTATTTACTGCAATTTTCAAAGTGTAAATTTCTTCTAATGCATCAGCTTTACTGCTACTTCTTAGTTTCTCCTCTCTCAGCTCACCTAATCCACTCCCAATATAACTCCAAACAAAAAATTGAGACACCATGGCAACTAGCAACTATTCCATCCATGTTTATGCATATTCTGAGAAGCCCAATATACAACCATTATCTGGTTCTTCACGTTCATGTTGCCACTTATATATGCCTGCTGCTTTCCACACTACAAAAGGTAACCTAAATTCTATCTATCCTCCAATCCTGATTACCTTTGCAACAGGTGACAGTGATGCCAGTCTAGCAGGAACTGCAAGCTATCTCACCTATTGCAAAAAGCAGGTGAGAGCCAGAACCTTGCTGGGCCACATCACGTTTGCTCTGCCAGATGTTGAACTGCAAGGCATAAAAAGGTTTAATTACACCTCTAAGATATATCTCAGAGAGCATCCTACCAAACAGTTTTCTGTTAGGCTTTTAGCAGTTTGGGGCCTCTCAATACAAGAAATTTTCTATTCTGATTAAGATGTCCAAAAGCTCTGAATCTAGCTGCAGTAACTGTAGTATCTGCATTTTGTCTTTCTTCATTAATAGAGCAGCACATTGTTCCTGACCACAGTAATGACTTTGTCAAAAGTTTTGATGATAGATGGTAATAGATATTTTCAATGATTTATTGATAC